CGTGCCGTTCGAACCGTCCCGTTCGAATTCGCGCAATTTGCACGGTCACGCGAATCGAGGACGCTTTTATTTCGAGCGAATCACCGCGCCCGCGGCCGACGGATTTCGACGCATTAAACGCGATGAGTTTGCGGATCCGCGACGCACCGAGTTAGCCAATATGCTCTTTGTACGGGGCGACGACGCTCGCTTGTTCGTCGCTCATTGTGCACCGAGCCCCGTAAAAACACAATTTGTGTGTAATTCTCGCGGAAAATTGTCGCGCGCCGCCGCTGCCTGGGCGACGGGCATTAGCGCCGGTCATTGAATTGTTCGCCGCGCCGAGGAATAATTGCGAAGCGCGTGCGTGAGCTTTGCGTGTTTGCATTCTTCGTCTTTGTTCGCGCGAGTATACGGGACAGGTGTACGAACGGATTTTGTCACAGGCTTCGAACGTGTTCGAACCGTTGCGCCATGTTCTGTAGATATTATTGAATCAGCTCGAAGCATTTCCGCGCTCGCCGTTCCCGAGCGAAGATATTAAAATGTCACCCGAAATTTACAGCGACAAGCTAAAGGAACGAGAGTGTTCGGCGCATTCCGTGGATTCTTTAACTTAACCACAAATCATCCCCGGGAAGATTTTCTTGGATGCTTGAGTTATGGCGAGGAAGGGGCGGATAGTTTCAAACGAACACGTCGAAATTTCGTCCCGTGATCGACCTTCATTCGAAACATCCAGGAAAGAGATTCGAACTTAGAAAAGGGTTGCTAATAGTAGGGTAATCAAAGACTGGACACCTGGAACAGTTTCTTGTGGTTTCTATCTTTCTAACTTCGTCGAAAAGAAAATTTTATTATAGAACTGCTACGTTCTTCGAAAACGCGACGTCCATCATTCTGGAGCACATACAAATATTTCTTGTAAAAAAATACGATACCGTGCAACCGTCGTCGACGCGATTGGAACTTATTACGAAATCTAATAATATCTACTCCAAATAAATAAATAAATAAATAATACCATACTTCTTACTCACAATAAACTACATTAACCCCTCTCCTTCTGATAGAACGAGACAATTTTTATTTCTTTTACGTTTTTATTGACTTTCAATCGTAGACTTCGATAACAGAAGAATCAATTTCTGTTTCGTTTTCGAAGAAATAAATGGTCATTCATATTTAATAGGTGATGTACGAGAACTTCGTCAACTGGGCATTAAAACCACCCTTAAAATCCGTCTCAACCGTCTCCCAAAATCATCGCCATAATCAAGCATTCGAGATATCCGCGGCAAAACCTACCGGCAACAGCTCCACGGAATCGGTGCCGATTACCCGCGGGGGTGGTGACCGATAAAAAATGTGTTCGGCCGAGAAGAGCCGTAGAATGAGGTACCATTTTGCGGGCCGCGTCGCGGATGAAGCGCGAAGGTGTCCTCCGGTCGGAGGGAGCAAGAAAAGGAGCCTATCCTCGGCGGGCGGAAGGAGGGGTTGCGGTGGCAGGAGGTGGAGGCACGGCGAGTGGTATCGAAGAGAGAAGAAGTCACTTTCTTATTTCCATTCTCAGCAGCGTTCTTTCGAGTTCGACTCGGCGATAGCGGCGGCCACCATCTCGCAGCGTGTCCCACCTTTCTTCCACGTCGAGCCAGGCCCCCACCACGCATGGGCTGGAACAGTTGGTGGCCGGCGGTGGTGGTGGTGGCAGCAGCGGTGGTAGCAGCAGCTCTCTACCTGGCTGTAGCTATCGCCCACCCCCGCGTTTCTCCTCTTTCTTTCGTTCGGTCCGGTTGTTTCCCGACTCCTTCCAGGAGGCGCGACCCACCCCCGCGGCACACGGCCGCGCAGCGATGCTGTATTACGTGGACGCAAACAGGTCTCCATTATTGGTGGGAAGCAGAAATTATTGCTGAGAAATTCTTCGCGAGCCGCCTCTCGCCCTCTCTCTCTCTCTCTCTCTCTCTCTCTCTCTCTCTCTCTCTCTCGTCGAGCTTTAAATCTTCGGGGTTGAATCTCACCTTCTTTTATTGATTCCCGACGGTTGTACCCGATTCCGCGCCTGGGAATCGATAAACTCCTGTTCTTAACACCTGACAGGGCCGTTAGGCTAGGAACTTATGTCTACACACCGTTACTTGATCCTTCTGCCGCGGAAAATAATTTGTTGCTGGGTGACTCTTTCTGTTTTTCAATATAGTGCACGTTTTATGCTTCATTAGTCGATAGGTTCCTCTGTACAAATTTCGGATTTTTACTTTTATTTCTTTTTTTTTTATTTTAACATAGTTTATGTTTGTCTACGTTACGTTTGTCTATGTTACGTTGTGCTGTTCTTTGCGACGTATTTTGCCAAAGGAATTTCTTGAAAATGAGTACGAATTCTGGGGACATTCGTGTATCCTTTTTATGAGCCGAGTTTATTCGTCCAAAAGGCCAGATCTTCTTTAAAAAATGACATTTATATATCCATACGTTAAAACTCGTGGGAAAAAGTGTATCGAAGGAAATAGGTCAACTTTCCATTAGATAAACATCCTTCGAAAAAAGATACGGAGTTTTCGCCATTCAATTAATAATCCAACCTGATAGATATGATCGTCGATAATCGAAGTGTAGATACTGGTGTTTGTTTTTCGAATTCTTGGCTTCGCGTTGGATTGATACGGTGATTCATCAACATGATGGATAGATGAATAATTGATTTCGCGGATTTCTTCGCTGTATGTGAAAAGTTGAAATAAGACGTGATAAGTTGACAGAACGATTTTACACAGTGTTTCTGAATCTTTATGCAGAGAATGAACATCTTGTTTATTGCTCCTGTTGTCTGCTGTTTCGGATTTCGTTGATCGACATTCGTGTTACCATAAAAGCGTGAAATCCGCAGTCCACTTACCGATAACGTGTGCACAGCATGTTTATTTAATAGGAATCCATATGAAATGTGGCAAAATTCAGAAGAAAACTAGACGAAGAATTCTAAAATAGAAGAACGTATTTATGACGGGTGATCAAAGAACCTCATCGAATCGTTGAATGATTTATGTTCACGTTCCGCTGACGTTTCCAATGCGGACAACAATATTACCCCGGCGACCACATCGTTACCATCATAGAAGAGCTAATTTCTGCTTATCTCGGAGGAGATAGAGGGTTGTAAATTCACCGGGGCGTGAAGAATAACTCATTGAAGCGGTCGGGGGACCATCAACACCTTGTCGTTTATTCTTCGCGTAATCCGACACCCACTACCGTTTTCGGTAGCCGAAACAAGGATATCAAGTTTCGGGACACTTGAGCGTGTCCCGTGGACCACGCTGTATCGCTTTCAGAGATTGTTCACCGACGCGAAGTGTTAAACGGACGCGAACAGATCGGTCTTCATTAGAAGTGAAAGTCGAAGTATCAAACTGACCGTAGAAATCCTATCGATTATTCCGCGAACAACGGCGAATTCAATTTGATGCAAACACTGTAGACAGCGTGCAGACTGTTCAATGCCTATTGTAATTTCTTCGTTTCCGATACCTTTGCTGTCTGAAATTTATACATCGATGTTCCGTGCCTGTCGCTGAACAGAAAACAAAGTCGCAATCGTCAGTAAAATAAAATAAAACAGAGTAAAATAAAGTAGAACGAATTAAAACAAAGTAAAGCAACGTAAAACAAAGTAAAACAGAGTAAAACAAAGTACAACAAAGAAAATAAAGTAAAATAAAGTAGAACAAATTAAAACAAAGTAAAGCAACGTAAAACAAAGTAAAACAAAGTACAACAAAGAAAATAAAGTAGAACAAATTAAAACAAAGTAAAACAACGTAAAACAAAGTAAAACAAAGTACAACAAAGAAAATAAAGTAAAATAAAGTAGAACAAATTAAAACAAAGTAAAACAAAGTAAAACAAAGTAAACAAAGTGAAACAAAGTAAAACAAAGTAAAACAAAGTAAACAAAATAAAACAAAGTGAAACAAAGTGAAACAAAGTGAAACAAAATAAAACAAAGTGAAACAAAGTGAAACAAAGTGAAACAAAGTGAAACAAAGTGAAACAAAGTGAAACAGTGAAACAAAGTAAAACAAAGTAAAACAAAAAGTAAAACAAAGTAAAACAACGTGAAACAAAGTAAAATAACGTAAAACAAAGTGAAACAAAGTAAAACAGTTCCGTGTAAATTAAGATCATTGCGCTCCAACAAGCAAATCGTCTTAATGAATAAACATAGTGTAAACGACTGCCGACACATTTTATATCTCCAAGAAAATTCGGTTGCTAGAAACTAATTCGTTCGAAATCTTTTTTCACAAATGTCTGTGTGTATAATGTAGCATCGTCTTCCTGAAAACCAGTGCATACCGGATCGCACACAGTTTCGTCGCATAACATTTTAATTCATAGCACCAAAATCAATCGCCTTTCACCATTTTCTATCGTCGGACTTGTTTCTACACTCCGCAATCTTATTCTACCCCGACGTTCCGCGAAAGCCCGCGAAGAATATTCCGACATTGAATTCCTAAACTTCTCCCATACGTTAAACCATTTTCCGGCCGAGCCATCGCCATTTTTAACGAGCCCCTCAGGTGCATCGCTGCAAAGCGGCGCCGATCGGACCTCCATTTCTCGGATTTCGCGACCGGCTGCCAAAAATTCGGGAAGGACCCGAGGCGAGCGTGTACCAATCGCGGCAAGTAGTTGCGGTGTTGGCGAATTCGCGGAAAGAACTTTGAAACAAGGGAACGTCGGGAGAGGGTGGACCGGGCCACGGGACCGGGAGGGTATCTATCTCGCGATCCTCGTCGAGAGGGCCCCCCACCCTCGGGTCGCAGGAAACGCGGGTCGGGTTCGTTATCGACGGCCTCGCGGCGGCAGCCAATCGTGCGCCCGAGCGATACCGCGTTTACCAACGAGGCTCCGCCCCTCGGCGTTCCCGATTCGCTCGCTCGACCTTTTTCCGCTCGGCCGCCGGTGGTGGGGAGGGCACGACTGGTTGAAGGGACACAGTGGATCGGCTCCGGGCGACGGGTCGTGCGTGCACACTCCCAAAACTATCGTCCGCAGAGGCACATTGAACGCCGCGCGATTCTGTGTCTCGTCCTCGTGCTTCGTCGCAGAACGCGATTACTACACCATCTTCTGTCTCGCCAGTTCCCATGCGGAGCAGCTAATCGCTAACAGTTGACCGAAACCGGAAGCGAGCAGGATGCCGACGTAACCGACCCGCGCGTCGCGACACGTCGCTAACACGCAGTGATAGCGTAACAGTGAATCAGAATCTTCCTCTCGGACATCGATAGTGGAACGTCTTCTGATATGACAGTGCAGTGACTCGACCGATCTTGTTGTTTATTTGTTCGTTAAACGCCTTTCGACGGACGCGTTTCAATTCACCGGGCTCGTTGCCGATCGTTGGGGACGAGTCGGTGAGGCCCAGAGTCTCAACCACGGCACCAAAATTGAGCTGGACTTGCACCAACGGGCCGCCGGCCACTTTATGAGGTGAGTTTCGCCGGTGATTCTTGGGATTGTGTGCGGGGAACGCGTTCCGGGAGAACGCATGCGAATCTCTCGTGATTTGGTGCGGAAATGAAGTGATTATCGTAATTCAGGGGATGTTTCGCTAGGCGTTTCCAGATATTCTGTGGAGTTCTCGATCGGAGGGATCGAATTGCGAAATTTTTGAAACACTGAGTACAGTGGTAATAATTTGAAATATTGATTTGGAGAATTTTAGAGCTGCGGGTGTGTTTAAATTAGCTTCGGAGGGAGTTTGAAACTACCCTTTGCTCCAGTATCTCGCTTGTTGAATTTAGAGAGACTGATTTCTAGTAGAAGTTATGAATCAGAGTTTTATATTTGTTTAGCTGCCTGTGAGACTGTATTTTCTGTAGCAATTATTCCCAAAATTCAACAATTTGTTCAAAGTACGCAAATTTTGTAATGTTGGAGTTTAGAATCGACGTAAATATTTGCATCGGTGACACTTCTTCGGTGCTAAATAATTTTGCAACAGCTTCCAGAGACAAGGAATGTAGGTACACCTTTTCGCGAGGATATTGTTTACTGGCAAAAATTTATAAACGAGCGATTATTACGTTCAAATAAATCGAATACAGTCTTCTTCTTCTTTGCAATTTCGTCGCTTGAAAAATGACCTTTGCACGAATTATCAGCGACCAAATTCGCGAGTGAGGTTATGTGAGGTTAAACACAGTTTCACTAGTGCTGATCAACACCGACGCTGACCCAATTGTTACACATACTGTTTGATACTTCTCAGTTTAGGTTCGCAAAACGAAGTATTGAAGAATGCGCTATAATTACAAAGCGAGGATTAGATTAAATTTATTCCACAATAATGTTTGCAGTAACGTGTTTCCTTTTCATAAAAGTGCGTTCTGTTGTTGGCTCGAGTTAACCAGATCAGTTTTCTATTACTCCGTCTGGAGCGTTGTTTTTTCATTGTTGAATGCGTCCAATGTAATCGTACAAATTTCCATATTATTTTATTCCATTAAATGGAATAAAAATGTCATGAATATTCATTAATATCCTCGTTCATATTCAACTGATAAACCCACCCCTGAAAACGTCACTCATTTTCAATAACTTCAATTAATTTTCCAAGCACACAATATATCTAGATATTAACGTATCTGTATACGTTGATAAAAATTCACTTTATAGCTGATCCGATGAAAAATCCTGAACCAATGTTCCCCGATTGATTGAATTAAATCAGCCCCGCGTCTCGCCTCGCGTCGCCGCCTTCAAATCGGCCGGATCCACTCCTCGGAACCTTTAAAAATCCTCCGCAAGGATCTCGATCACTCTACTCCCGTCGCGAATACAGATTCCCTCATAGAGAGCAATAAATTGCTGCGTGTGGGTTCGTGGGTCGTTCGAGCCGGGATCTAAACATTCAATTAGCACTTCCTAATCCCCCGTCGCTCGTTGTCAACAGCCATTACTTCCAGCATCTTCTCTCTCCCCGTTGTGCCACCCCCGAGCACCCTTGGGCTCTCTCGCAAGCAACCGCTGGTGCTTCCACCCCCTGCCACCCCCTTTTTCTCTCTCGCTCGTTCCCTCGCACCCTTGCAACCTCGCTAACCAACGTATCTATTAATCCGAGCTGAATGACACTCGAGGGTGGTCCTGGCCGAGGGGTGGTTCTAACCCTACAAAATCGTAACTACCGCCCCCGGGTTAACTCCCTCAACCACTACAGGTTTTTTTTCTTAATGAATGCTCAAGGAGATCCGCGTGTAATTGTATTAGTTCGAGAGGAGAACGAGAGAGAGAGAGAGAGAGAGAGAGAGAAAGAGAGGGAAGGAGAGGATCGTAGGAGTCGCAGACGGAAAAGAGGGACTGTTGGAGCGAGGCGTGCAGAACGAAGGGTGACATTTAGGGTAAAAAGACGGCGGAGAGAGGCAACGCGGCGAGATTGGTTAATGGCTTTGATACGAGGAAAGGATAAGATTAATTTGCTTGTGAATCAAAGAGCAAACGAATAAGCAATTACCAGGACCGTGAGGAGTGGCTGCACGAGTGCCCTCGCTCGGTTCTTCTGCGTGTCGGTGGCGCACAATTAAAAGCCACCAGGCTGGAATGCCAGCGTTTTCAGGGAAATCGTCGTGACCGGTTCAAATCCGCTTTAAACGCACGCTTTGCTACCCGGTTAGCCGGTCTAAGGATAATCTAGGTTTTGCGAGGGCTAATTGCGTGAATAACAGAACACAATTCACGGAATTTCTAGAACCACATAGAAATAAAATCCTTTGTGCGAACTGGATACAAAATTATTTTAATAACATAGTGCTACTTTTTATTTGGTGTTTGCATTCTCTAATCACAGGTTTGTGTCCATTTAATCCTGCAATGTTCTGCGGAGTTCGAGAAATTTCGATTTTCAGACAATAAATAGTTCAGACAATAAAAAGACACCAGGCTTACAATACTATACAATACTATACAATAGGCTTAGACAATAGATTCTACTGACTACATTTTCATCGTAAAATACACCCTAAAATTGATTATAATATTCTACAAATACAATTGAAAAAATATTCAGAATTTGCATACATTTATATTTTCATTAAGCAGAGTTTCTCTGGAGTTTGATTTAAAAAAAGAAAAACAAATTGAGGAGAATTTCTTTCGAGTTCGATGCATTTGTACTTATATTGAAGAGAGTTTCTTTGGATGTTGATACATTTATAATTTCATCGAGGAGAATTTCTTTGCAGTTCGACACAATAATATTTTCATTAAGAAGGATTTCTTTGCAGTTCGACGCATTTATAATTTCATTAAAAAGAATTAGCAGCATTTTTATCTTGTTTGAGTTACAACGAGCCCCATCGTCGACGAAACAATTCTGATTTTTACAAAATAGTGAAAATACAGATCTACAATCCGCTGAAATACGTGTTCCCTTTTTATTAATATTATTTCGATTCAACTGAGAATCGTTACTAGACTGCGGATTTTATGCATTTATGACAAAAATGAGTAGATACAATTTGTGACAATGGAAATACTGACAGAACTTAGAATCAGCTACATCGGTATTATTTTCGACTCACTGAAATTATTCAAGAAATAAATGTAACAATTGCTGGAGAAATGAATTTTGTTTCGCATAAAAATTCAGTCTAATTATAAGAGTTTCAAAAAAAGGAACAGGCGAGCTGTTCCTTCATTACTTTGCGCGTTACAAACAATAACCTAATATTTGAAATATCCAATAAACGTTTAGAGTAACCAAAGTATTAACACAAAACTAACCGAACATTAAAAGCGACTAATGTGTGCTGTTCTACGAATAAGACAAGACTGAATTTATTTCATACTCCTCACTACTTTAATTACAATGGATATCGAATTAACAAATTGATTGCAGAACAAGTTTCGCACAGAAGAGTCTTTGTAACTTCAACGATTTTAAAATACATCATATGAAAGCGGTGATTTTGACCGGCATGGTGGGTTCAGTGTTCAGCGATACAATTTGTCTCATAATATAAATGTGTCCGACTACTTAAGAACTATTGCAGCAAGAATTACCACGGTTCTCTTTGCAAAGATACCTATCACATCCGCGTCATTTAAAGATCGTTCTTCATCTTCAACCCCTAAATCTCTGCCAAGCATTTGAAAGATCGGTCATCGCAAGTTCCCAAAATCGTGCTAATCGCCATAAACAATCTAAATCCCGATCTGGTCGGTCGGTGTATCAGTGTCCAAGACGCATCAAGAGGCTAAGTATGCAAGATAACGTCGTCGAGATCGTAAATCAGATGGGGACGACGTTTGTCTCCGACGGAGAGCGTCGGTCGGACCCGGTGTCGAAACAATGGACACTCCACGATGCCCTCGGGTCCCTCTCTCTCTCTCTCTCTCTCTCTCTCTCGCTTTCTCTCTCTCTCTCTCGCTTTCTCTCTCTCTCTCTCTCTCGCTTTCTCTCTCTCTCTCTCTCTCGCTTTCTCTCTCTCTCTCTCTCTTGCTTTCTCTCTCTCTCGCTTTCTCTCTGACCATCTCTCTATCTTCCCCGGTCTCTCCGTTGATCCTCGGTCACTCGGACTCGAGGTCGTCGGTGGCTGTTTTCACGTAGGCGTGTCCCATTAACGTGCCCGCTGGGGTTACTAATTGGTGGCTGCGTTTAATTACAGAGCCGGCGGCAACATGTGCGACGGCTCCTTCACGGAGACCCTGCGCGGTATGCAGGGTATGCCGAGTACGTCGCCACCCGGTGGCGCGGGTGTCGGCCCCATGGGGGTTGGCCTCGGCAGCCCCCTCGGCCCGACCACGAAGAAGACGCAGGTGGAGCACATTAAGAGGCCGATGAACGCGTTTATGGTCTGGTCACGGCTCCAGCGACGGAAGATCGCGCAGGAGAACCCCAAGATGCACAACAGCGAGATCTCCAAGAGATTAGGTTAGTATTTGCGACTTATCGATACTCGAATCACGCAGCTTTCGAGATAACTCGATCGAACTCGTTCACACGGCTTCCGTCGAGACTAATGTCGATACTGTATTGTCTTGTCTCAAAAAATCGAGACAGTATCAAGAGATTCCACGTCCCGTGAAATCATATGATAACGCGCGATATCGTAGGAAACATGATACAGTAGAACTTCGATGATTACGAATTCAAAATTGATAGTAAACACGTATCGATTCTGCTGTAATCTAAAGTGTATACGTTCTGAAGTGTGTTAAATATATTACATCATTCGAACTAAAAATACAACGAGAACAGCTAATTCTGATATCTCAGAACGACCGTGCAATGAAACTGATTAGTAGACGGCGGATTTATGTGCAAAATACAAATTGTCTGCATTAGTTGCAAGAAACAGAAACTAAATACAGTAAATTCTTAGCGAGTAAAAAGTTAAGTTAAATTGACGCGAGTAAATTCTTCGTAATTGCACAAAGAATAGACAATTTGAGCCTTGCCACTCGTTTTTATAGTATAGATTGTCAACAATTATAAAAAACGAACCGCAAAGCTCGAATAATCGGATCTCCTCTTCCCAAAATGTCCATTTTTGTGTACAATCCGAGTTAAGTTAATCTTACCTTAATCGATTGAACAGATTAAAAATCAGACATATACATTTTTTAATTCTCTGAATCTTTCTTCTATCTTAAATTGCAACCACTTAATTTTGTCATGAATGCAGAAAATCTGCAGTCTAGTGATTGATTTGTGTTGCCTTTTCAAAACAGCAATACTGCGTTTGCGAAATATACCTGAACAAATAAACGTATTCAGCGATTACTATACTGCGGAATTTATGCATTTATAATAAAACCGATTAGGGCGAATACAACACATTAAACGCAAGATAAAAATTGAACCACGCTGTTCGATTATTTTCAACTGATTAAAGAAAAAGTTACGGATGAAAATAAATGTTTATTTAACTTCTGTTTATTACAATGGAGGTAGGGAATTTTTATTCTGCATAAAGATCCGCGGTCTAGTGATTATTCACGAAAACGACGTATCAATCGCAAGAATTATAAGATATACATTTGGAATTCATCATTTTGACCGATTTGGTAGTTCCAGTGTTAATGACGCGCCATTTCTGTTGAACACTGCCGAAACAAGGACCGACAAGCAGACTATTTCCGCAAGATAATCTGTGTGTCGATACAAAACGGAAGTCCTAGCACGTGAAATAAAGATTATGGAATTGGAATTTCCGCAAGATTCTTTCGAAATTGATTTCAAACGAAACTTTACGAAACCGAGCGCAGTCTCCGGCAAATGGTCGCGTACCATAAATCACCTAACAGAACAATTCCGGCCGAAAACATCTATGTCATCGCCGCGACAACATTCATCGGCGGACAAAACCCGGCGAAACGCAAAGAGAACCCGTCGCACAGAGCGTTCGTTCTTCCAGCCCCGAAAGCAATTAGCGAATCCAAACGGGCGCGGCAAACGGAGCGCGGTTCAAAAAAATCTTCCCCCGAAACAATCGTTCAAAGCTCATCCGTCGAAATAGCGAGCTAGCGCGTGAGCGAGGTGCGAGGGCCCAAAAGAGAAAGCACGCGCGCGCGATAGCGAGAGAGAGAGAGAGAGATAGAGAGCGAGAGAAAGAGAAGAAAAAAAAAGGTATACAGAAGCGAGGAAAGAACGCGTCGCGTCGCCGCGAACACAGCAGCGTTAATCGCATTTTCGAGATTCAAACACGACGGTTTGGTTCGAACGCGCGGCGCTCGGCAGTCTATTCGAACGCGGCAGTTCCTCCCCGCGATTCATCCCTTTCAGGATTCCTTGCTTTGCGTGTCGACGGTCCAGCGCGACTCTGCTCTGCTTCATCGACACACGCTCGAATTATTCGTCGCCCTCGACACACGGTTCCCGTGTGCTCGCGCGGGGGAAAGCGCGCGGGGTGAACCGACGGGAAAAGAAAGGGAGATAAAGACGAACGGGGACGAAGGTATTCCGGTTGGTATTTCCGTTAAATACCCGGGAATCGACAAAGCCCAGTTCCCGCGGCTCCCCTCGAAGCTTCTTTATCCGTCATTTTCTTCCTCGCCTCGGTTCTTCTACCCCCATTTTTCGTTCCCCCGGCGACGGCGAATAAGGGAAGTGCCTGCTCCTCGGCAAAAATGATGCGCGCACGCTCGAACCACCTCCCTCCGCTGATATTCCACCCCTTCTCTCTCTCTCTCTCTCTCTCTCTCTCTCACTCACTCACTCACTCCTCTCCTCCCTTCGATCCTCTTCTGCCTCCTCCGAGCCGCCCTCGCCCCTTTCTCTTCTCCAGCTTGCACCCTTTGTCGAAGCGACACTTTTTCGTCGCTCTTTTACCGCCATGTCCCCGGCGCGCTGCGTACATTTCTGCTTGATATACAACCCCACCTGAACGCCCGCCGCCTCCGCGCCTTCTCTCACCCTCTCCGCACCCCCGCCGATCCCTCTCCGCAGCCCCGCCGTGTCCGCGCTACCCGCGATGGCTTGTCGGAGCATTTGCAAATTTCATCCTGCAGCCGCCCGCTTCCCTTCGCCGCCCACGCCTCCCCGGCCCTCCTCTCCCGGCCGCCCGTTCTACCCCCGGCCCGCCCTCCGACCCTCTCCAGGCGCCGAAAGAGCGCCGCGACGACGACAAAAGAGATCCGAGGAACCGATGCGCCTCTCCGCCCGAGAGAGCACTCTTCGCGTGAACGCTGGAATCTCGCGAGGAATGCTTCGGCTTGCTTCTCTTCCTTTTCGTCGTCGTCTTCTTCGTGTTCTTCTTCTTCGTCTTCTTCTTCTTATTCCTCTTCTCAACCGACTCTCGCGGTTTCCGGGGAAAATGGTAACTCGTTTGGTGGCTTCCGGTCAGGGGAGGGGCAGCCGGTGCCACGCATTGTCCTGCAAATGGGACACTCGATCGCAGACCGTTTTCGGGATTGTGTTTCAAGGTTTTCGCTCTCTTTGCACGTGCGACGCTGATGCTGCTGCGGTTTCGGCTGGATCGGTTGATGCGGCGAAAATTTGTCCTACATCCCGCGGGACGAAAAAATAGCACGCTTTAAAATCAATTTGTTGTGCATGTAATATGCAACCAAGGTTTTGTTTCTATAGAAATTTGCAAGATTCCAGTATAAACGTACACAGCGGATGAAGTAAAATTGGACTTCGTCAGTCGAAAGAATTTTGTTCGATGAAAAGAGAATTTTTAAAAATTGTTTGCACTGGCGAAATTCAATTTTATTTTATATGCGACTGGCAACAACGCGAACCGATTTCGATAGAATTCTCGGCACGCGTACAAGTTATGCAAGAAAGTCGCAAGAGAGCCCCTTGAAATTTGTGACTGATAAGAAACCTGGCATTTTATATACCACGCGACAAATTTCATTATACAATCGCTTTGACGATTGTTACTCGAAGCGTACAATTCTTTGATGATCACGCACGATCGATTACGCAAGGCTTTCTACTTCGCTGTAATCGACAGTCCGAACAATCACATTGTAAACATAATTATTCCTGTTGCAGCGAAAAAATAACTCGTAAGATAACTTGTGAATTGTTTCAAGAATTGAATCGTATAATCTAAACTGTAGAGATATATTTCCAGCATTTTCAATTCAGTGTTAACACAACTAACCCTCTGGTTCGCATAGAAAACTGTTCCCTCATTTCGCTCCCCGAGGAAACAACAATATACAGAAATTACATAGATAACCGTGATTCGATAACGAGCCAAATATATCCACGTTTCGTTATCGCTGTCGCACTTAACTCGGTTATCCGGTCCCATCTAAACGTGCAAGAAATCCGAAATTCACACTCGCACGGTCGTCGCGCCGACACCGCGAATATTTTAATCGAATCGTATCGCGTTCGTAAATTCGCGAAACAAGCCCGTCTTGAATGAAACTATGTAGATCTCGAGTAAACACTTTTCCCGCACGATTGCCTAAACGATTTGCCGGGGAAATCGGCTCCACGGTCGATAAATCGGTTACTTTACGGTCGCCGCGAGAACTGTACAGAGTTCTAATAACAATAAAATTTCTGCGGCAGAATCTTGGCGGGCAAGGAAACCTGGTCAAGCTTTCCACCATGGTGATATTTCCATTCCGGCACGGTTTCGGAGCGAGCTCGGCCGGGTTCGTTTGCCCAGGCTCGACAAACACCATCGACTTTTAGTTGGCGGACTGTTCAGTTGGAGCACGCGAACACGCGAAACCGCCGCGCCGCGTGTTAGATAGTTGGCCGACTGAAAAGTTTGCACTCTGTTGCAAACCGTACTCGACTAAACTATATAAACGGCTGGTCAACCGCGATCGTGCACGCCTACGCGGGTAAATAATTGAGTGCCTTGCCTATTTCGCTGTCTATGGTTTCCGTGTACCGGTCTGCACTCGTTGCTAATTGGAATAGACAGGCCATTGTTCCCCGAAAAACATTTTGGTTCGTACGGAATAGCTGTTCGGTTGTCCACGATGTAATTTCGTTTCGTCGGGATGTTGGAAAAATCCGAATTCAGCATATTTTGCCGATTAAAACGAAACAGCAGAAGATTTCGAATCTACCGAAAAAGTCGAAATGTTACAGAACATTAAATCTAGAATTATGAATATAGAATTAAATGTAGAATTAAATGCAGAACATTAAAAGTTTTAGAAGAATAGATCATCGAACGAAATTACATTCCGAATAATAGTTTATCATTGAATTCTGGATATTATTGTTCGATCGAATAGAGATAATAATTTTCGTAGAAATTAGTAAGCGATTAAGTAAATGCTATGGAAACGAAAGTGGGACGAAAATATTCAAAATTCTTGAATGGACGCACTTCGTGCATGTAAATTGTTGTCGTTAATTTTTGCTTGCGACTCGAAACCCAACTTCTATTAACACATATTTAGTCGCTGTTATCGATAATTGGTGCTCGAACGAGCGATAAGACTAAT